TCTCCTTCCTCTGTACCCGTCGTCAACTGTGGTCGAGCTGTCTGTCCGGGGAGGCGAGGGCGATGGTGTGGATGGCGCGGTACCGGGGCGGTCTGTCGAGGCGCTGCACAGGGAAACTCCGGGTCCGAGGGTGTGTCGGACAGAAGCTTCAGTCGCGAGTCCGTGGGACAGGGTGGTGGTGTCATGATATACATATATAACAATATTCAGTGTCAGGGAATTCAATGGCTGAATGATCATGAACGGGAATGCTTGGGCTTAAATATCATACTATCACCACAAATGTCTTTCACAATCATTGTGATATATCGCCTCCCCCTCTTCAGATGCCACTTTTTATGAAAAGTTTGAAAAATTACTGAAAGAATTTAACTTAAACAAAGAGACCATTATTTTGGGAGATATCAACATAAACTAGGAGGACACATCATGTAGAAAAAAGCTTAAAAAAATAACTGGCAAATTTGATTTAGTCCAAATGATCAAAGGGCCCACAAGAGCAGCAACCAGATTAATTTAGCAATTACCAACCGACCTGAGAGAATATTTAAATCATACAATATGTTAGCTGGTCTTTCTGATCACAATTTGATCCTTTTGGCCAGAAAGCTCTCATAAAAGAGATTTAATTATTCTGTCAGAGAGAGTGAGTTTGTTGGAATCCCAAAAAACCACTAGGAAGGATTTAAAAGTGCTGTCCAGCAGATTGACTAGGATCACATATCGTTGGGAACAAATTGTGAAATGGACTGTGAATCTTTTGTAGCGACAATTAAGAGAACAATTAAAGATTTTAGCTGTAAAGTTAAACACAAACACAATAAAAACATACTTCCCTGGATGAACTCTGACATACTAATGAAAGAGCGGGATCTTGTGTTAAAAAATGCAATTAAGTCAGCTAGTGCTAAAAATCTGTTAAAACATTGAGGAATAAAACTGTAAAAGCTATACGCAAGGCCAAAGCTGATTTTTTCTTGACTATAATAGCAAATGCAAAAGGAGATTCTAAAACAATCTGGAACCAACTGAAAAAACTTGTAGGACAGGATACAAAAAGGAAACAACTTTTAGAAATTAAGATAAATGGACAAATTACAAATAGTTGCAGATGCCTTCAATATTTTTTTTTATTGAATCTGTATCCACTATTGCCCAAAGCTTCTCATCTAATAATCTAAATGTTTGTTCGATAAATAATTCAGAGCCAATTTTCAACCTAGGCACAGTCACAGAATCTGAAGTCTTACAGACAATAAGAACACTAAAAGCTTCCAGAACTAGAGACATATTTGGCATAGATATGTGTATGCTGAAAGAACTCAGTTCCATATTATTAACACCAGTAACCAAAATTGTCAATCTCTCCATTATTGAGGCAGGCACTATTTCCAAGTGTGTGGAAGTCAGCAGCTGTTGTTCCAATTTTCAAAAATGGACATCCATTGTCAGTGGACAATTACAGACCAATCAGCATCATACTTACAGTGTCAAAAGTCACAGGGAAAGTAATTTCCCAACAAATAATAACACATTTGAATACCACTACATTTCCTCTGCATTCAATGCAATTTGGTTTCAGAACTCAACACTCAAACTGCTAATTTTGTTTTCATAGAAAATATCAAACATTTACTGGATTAAGGTGGCGTGGTCGGAGCTGTGTTTCTCGATCTAAAAAAAGCCTTTGACACTGTAAACCATAATTAACCAAACTAAACAAATTTAACTTCTCCTCAGATGCAATAAAATGGATAGAATCATATCTATCGAATCGATCACAGTCAGTCAAGATCAGTGAATACCACTCACCGCCCCTCGCCATGTCCACAGGGGTACCTCAAGGTTCTATTTTAGGGCCTCTGCTATTTTCACTTTATATAAACAACCTCCCTTCAGTTTGTCTAGACGTCTATATTCAGATGTACGCAGACAATACAGTCATTTATACCCATGGCAAAAACACAAAACAGTTGCTGAAAAACTTACACAGTCTATGGCCCATGTCTCTGAACTGCTAAACCAATCCTGCTTAAAACGTAATGTAAATAAAACGGTTTCAATGTACTTTTCTAAATCAAACATTGCAAATAATCAGGCAGATATGTGACAGGGGAACAAATAAAAGTTGTGTCAGAATTCAGATACCTAGGCATCTTAATAGACTGTAAACTAACTTTTAAATCACACATAAAAAAGGTCTGCAATCAAGTCAAATTTAATATCGCAAATTTTTCAAAGATCACACTTGTCACTTCAGGCAGCTAAAATGTTCATGTACAGTATGGTTCTGTCTCACATCACAGACAATCTGAATAAAAAACCATCAAGATATCACCATTGTGCCATTTTACAAAAGCATAATCTTTTAAGTTGGGAAAATGTCATCAAGTATTCAAACCTCTGTCTGTTATACAAAATCATCCATGGTCTGTCATCTCCTCCACTCAGTCAGTTTGTAAACATCAGGAACACCACACAGAGAGTAACACGAGGGTCGGCCCGAGGAGACTGTTGTTCCTCTGCGAAAAAGTGCATTTAGTCAGAGTGCCTTTTCAGTCACAGCAGCACAGGAAGTGGAACTCTCAGAACATCAGAAAACTCACCACATACACTCTGTTCAAAAAACATCTAAAAAACTGGTTCATAACACATCAGACATGTCAGCATTAACAAGAATATGTATCTTCCCTCAACCCAACCATGCTGCCACTTGTGTCTCTGCTGTGTCAATGTGTAGTATAATTGTTTTTTTGTTTTTTTTTAACCTAATGTCTGTATTATAGCAAACTTGTACACTGTATTTATCAACAGGATTTGAAGAGTTATATCTGTTTTACTGCTCTTTTATATTTGTATTGTTCACTGTAATCTTCTTATTGTTGTTTTTTTTAGATAGACAATTTTAAGATCTGTCCTGGGACAACGGATGAAAAATAGCCTTTTGGCTAATTCTGGTGCATTTGCAGCAGAGTTAATTAATGTACACTGTCCCTGTCAAATAAACTAATAAATAAATTAAATAAACAAGTACATTCACATTTTTTCCATTTATTTTGGCAATTTTGTTTTACCACTGCATAAATTAAATAGTCAAAATGTGATATTTCCTCAGAGTTTCCCACAGGATTTAAAGAGACTATGGGGGGTGGGTCCAAGGCCCAAGAGCGTCCGGTAAAGTAAATTACATGTGTCCATTTATTTTTAATGGACACATGTAATATGTTTTATACTTTCTGTGAATATAATCCAATTAATCTTATTTCCATCCTGTATAGACACCTTACTTTGAAAATCGGACGTTGTCACATGTGTATCCTCGGGCTAAATTCATCAAGTCCGACCCCATTTTGATACAAAACATTGAACTACAGTTTTCATTGAGTTTTAATCAAATCCCAAAACTTGTCCAACTAACGTGATATCTTTTAGCTTTGGCTGTTGTATCGCAGCTTTTGTCTGGTAAACAACCTGCTAGCGTTTCCGAAAGCGATGTGCTCATGTCTTTTTTCCCCCCTCTGTCTGCAGAATCCGGACCGGAGGCGCCCAATCCGTATCCAACCTGCTGTGGTTGTGTTTGTTTTGTTTTGTTGTTTATTTGTAGATTTTTAATCTTTTTGTATATCATGATTTATATTTGTGGATCATGAAGATTCTGTATCTAGTTGTAGATCGTGTTTTACATTTGCAGATCATGAAGAAGTTTGCGGATTTTAATCTATTTGTAGATTGTGTTATGTGTTTGCAAGTTGCAATATCTGTTTGTGACTTTTAGTCTGTCCATTTTCAATGTATTTACCTCCATATTCACAGCCTCTCTTCAGATAGGACTCTCATACTGCAACACTTGTCTTTGTAAAGAGAGAAAATAACAGGATAAAGTTGCTAACCTGCCTGTCAGCTCGCACTGGTCCATTTCAGTGGATTTACCATAAAAGCTTGAATATATATGCACTCCAAATTTAGGTGCAGCTAGCTTAATAGCCTTCTCAGAAACGAGTGACAGAAACACTCAAAGTTGGTCAGACCGTTTGTTGCCTTTTCTAAGAAGTCAGCCACAGATTGAGTGGATGTGCTAGGAGACAATTCAGCAGAACCGTGTCTGCAAATGGCGATTCTTGCATCTTTCTCTGACACTATAAAATGCTTCCACGCTGCTGACATGTCAACTTAATTGTTCTGTAAAATTTCTTTGGCCCTTCTTATTATGCTGATCACCGAAAGTGCTTTTTTTGCTATTTTCAGCCGATTAATTTCAGTGGCCGAATATTCGGTGCATCCCTAAATATAATATATGAATAATGCATTTAAAAGTAATAATAATGCATTTTTGTTTTTGTATTAACTTTTATTATTAGTCTGTGCTCTCAATTATTCACGCCAATTCATGCCAGCCCAAATGGAGCCATTCCTCAGTATCACTGATTGTTTACAGGTTTTAATAAATGAATAAAAGCCAGACTTGGGAGCCTCAGTTGCAAAGGACTATGAAATAATGAACCCTATTTGAGCAATAAATGAGAAGAAATGCCATAATAACTAGTAATATTTTATTCCTTTTCAACACACCAGATGGGACTTGATTTCCTTCCCGTCTGATTTTGGACTGATTTCATTTTGAAGCTCAAATTTAAATCTAACCACAGAGGGTGACCCTTTTTCCCAGAACACCTGACAAAGCATGAAATCTTAATGAAGTCACTCTGAGATGACTGTGCAAGTGAAACAACTGGTACAACACAAAAAGGGCCTGGTAGAACAGGAAAACACAATAATAAATAGATTTTTTAAAACCTTTGGATCAGCTAGTATGATTAGATGGATGTTAAGTTCCTCTATGTTTCCAGACTATCTTTGTAGATTGTATGTAGGGTTTTGTTTATTCTCATTCTGATTCTGTTTTGCAATTGGTCAGAAAGAAGGGGGGCAATTGGTGCAGAAACAACACAAATATTTATTTTGGGTCATCACAACACACAAAAACATACAAACTGCCTTTTGCCACAATCAAATCAGAAACACACACCTGCTGCCATGGCACTAAAGCTAAGTCTGATCTCTGCAGAAGCTGATATGCCTTGATCCAATTCAATCGTGAGCTCATTGAGACCTGTGTGCTGGAGACATGTGGGCAAATCACCAAGGAAAATGAAATTAGACTAGATTTAATAGAGCTGTATCGGGCAAAGAAGAAACCTATTGAGGAATCAGGCCTCCATCCATCGTCCAAATGGAGACAGGTGATCAGCAAAGACATGGCCCAAATTAACGAGAATCAAAAGGGAAGACTGGAAACTGTGCACACACAGAGACAGACACGTGAAAACACAAAAGGCAGTGGAACACAAGTGCATTTCAAAGGAAAACTAGGACAAGCAGTCAGTGTACTATACACACGTCAACACTAGACAAACAAGCACGGTTTAAAGGTCCTGACAAATTGGAGAAACACACATGGACACACTATACTGGCACATACAATACATGCACATTCTCACATATAGACACAAGGAGTGTTGTCACATGCACACCCACACACACAACAAAACAGCACCCACACACTGATCTGGCCGCCTTACGCATTCATGCCACGAACAGACAGATCAATTCATAACCCAGTTATTGAATAGTAACCACATTTATCCACCACTGGGCACAGTCGGCGAGTCTACCATTCAGGCGCTCAGTCAGCCACTCTGCTACTTGGGATCAGTATTGGTTTACAGAGGGAGCCTGAGGCAGAGCGGGAGAGAGATGGGAATGAACGAATGACTGCAAAGCTTCCTAAAATGACACTGTGCTCTTCTGCTTGCCCTTTGCAAAGCTGGCAGTTGGTATAGTGTGTTTTGTATATGCATCTACAAGAGACTGTCCTCCCAAGAAAAAAACAGAAAGAAGATAGCATCACTTCTCTCAGCAAATGGCCAGATATGAAATATCTTTACGTTTTACGTTGAGCCGGCATCGTGATTGTAAAACGCCAGCCCCCCCAGCAAAAAAACTCACATTATACCATCCTGTGAAAGCAGGTTTTAATGACCACGAACATTCTTATTATTGTTTTTAAGTATGCTTTGCACCTGCCTCGGAATTCTCTTCTCCCCACACACTGACACACTCACACACACCTACACCTCAGGTAAACATCCCGGCTTGCCCCATCTCTCTCTGTCTCACTCCCCCATCTGCTCCATTTTCTCCATCAGCAGTATGTTTTATAAAGTCTTTTTTCCATATACATTTCCACCCGCGATCCGTTATCACGGCAGCAGGTGAGCCGCACGTCGGCTTATTAATGACGCAGGCTATCAAACAACTGAAACCAACATCTGCACCCTCTGTGTTCACTGCTGCTTTACTTGGTCCGTGCGTAAAATATCCACCACGACTTGTAACGTAACTTAGTAGTCTACCAATTTTTTTAACCGAGTAAAGTCTGTGCGAGAACACATGCACATAAGACGACAGCTGCCCCCCCCAACGTGTGCGTCCACGCACCCGATGACATCGTCCATCCAGATGTTTCATTGTCAACATCGCCCAATGGAAATTTTGCATACATCACCCAACCCTAGTAGAGAATATGACATGTCAACAAAACACTGGACTTGGGACATGGGAGAGCGCCGTTCATTGACCATTAACCATCAACAGCCAGCATTGGTTTCTGTGAACTATGACAAGAGTCGTTCCCTAACTATAACAAAGTAGTCACTTTCACCCAAAGCATGCTCTTTTCCTAACCAAGTAATTTTGGGGCCGAAACATAACATGCATCCATACAGAACAGAGGGACCACTGGATGGTTTGAAATAAGAGTATGAAAATTATGTGAACATTATGTTATCGCGTTCACAGTCACCAGATCATGAATCAACTAAACATTTTTCAATTTTTCATTTTCAACTAGCATGCTAGCAGGTGTTTAGAACAAACTGAACCTTCAGTCCGCAGCACTTTCTGATGGTTCCGGAACTATGTAACAGGAACCAATGTAGACACTGGCTGCTCCAGTCAAAAATGAGGTACAATAAGTTGAGTTTAAAAGGTTCTTGGTTCCCTGTAAAAGTTCCTGCTGTGGAAACACCCTATAGTAGACAGAATTTTTCAACTCAGAAAAGTCATTTTATCCTCCATCTTGACAACCACAAAAAAGATTGGAATTATGCCATTAAAGTTACGGATTAAGTTAAAGGATTTCTACTATGAACGCTAGCCAGTCGGGACATGCTAGTGCTAGTCAGTCACTATTTACTTTCCCCTGGCATTTTGTTCTTGGGATTACACATCATTTCTTTCCATGAATAGTTCTGTTGAATAGGGCAGAAAAGCACTCAGAGCTAATGAGCTTGCTAACTGCTTGTAGTAACTGTCAGTTAGCAAGCTAATGGGACAATTATTCAAAAGATGTTTTTGTAGCATAAACTCCTGTCTTATAACTGTCTATTTGGATTCAGTTTTTCTCAGCCCCTACGGGCAGATCCACTAATTACAACAATTACATTGGAATTAACTGATTTCTGAAATTTGCAATTTCACAGTAAATGCTGGTGTGCCTGGACCTAAAAGTTGTTTTATGTAGCTTTTGCCTTTAGATTGTCACCCATCTGTATCTCATAAGTGCATTATTGTGCCAGACATCTTTTCCATCTACTACCAAGCTTCAATTCAATCATGCAGCTAATTCTTTGCATGCCTGTTGTGTGTCGTTTTGTCTCTGCACTTCCACAGTCCGGTTCACGCCACCTGGTTGTCTTCTCAAACTTACTAAGTGTGCTCACCTCTCCTCCCGATGAAGCGACTCTCTGGAAATCACTGAAAGAGGGACAATTTGAGCAGCCATGCCAGCGCACAGGCTGCTGGCAAACTCCTTAATGAACCCACTACAGCCAACACTCATTTCCCTGACTGAATTCAAAGTAAGCCCACTTTCCTGTAGAGACCAATCCTCCCTCTCTCTCAGCACTCATTTAGATGAAGTATATTTTCTCTCCTTGGACCAGTGCTAGTTCAGTCGTCTATAAACAAGGGAGGTGTAACGCCTAAACCTGACAGGACCTGAAAAGACCCAGCAGCTTTAAATCTGGCAGTAGTTGTTATTATATCGTATTATAAATAAAGTTTGATCCAGTGACTTGTTTTTCTTGTTTGCAGTATTTCCATTGCTCTTTTTTTTTAACTGTCTCTCTGTCTCTCCCACTCTGAAATAGCCTTAGGATATTTTGGAAGCCTTTTTTTGTTATTGATTTGAATTAGGGAGCTTCAAAACATGGTTAAATGGATTTTGATCCCAGCATAAATTTAAGAGAACTGCATGCCTTGAAATGGGTTTGAAGACAGAGCAAAGCTGCTGTTCAGGATGGATTACACTTTAAGATCATCAGCTTTACAGACATGCATGAGTGGACTAAGTGTGTGTGTGTGTGCATGACTTAGTTTGTATGTGTGCGAGGATGAGTGTGTGCCTCAAGTGTCCTTACAGCTTGGGAGCTACTGCATCGGTGTCCTATGGCTTTCCCAGCCTGTCATCACTATAACAATGGCCGTATAGGTCGATTGTTCAAGCAGTTTATTAAGAACCATACGTTTATTGTTAAGCCGGGACCTCTAGTGGCCATAGTGAGTATGACGTGTATAACAGACGTCACCCACTGGTTTGTCGACTACCCTTTTTTGGTCCCAGACACTGAACAAGACCATATTTGGATGAGAGGTTGGCACTAGCTAGCTTGGTTAGAAAGATGCATCCGTAATTCATGTTCTGTGATATTAACCGGGATGCTAATTTTGGCTTGTGAAAAATGAACAGCCTACTCCTAATAAGCTTTTTCAACGGCGCTGGTCAAATTACACAGTGCAGTGGATACAAATCGCCATGGTAGTGACTTGTCAATCACTATATGCTGGCCATTAGAAACAATGTAGGTTTAGAGCGCTACTGCATTAGCTTCACTTTTCAGACATGGAGGTTCCTGCTTGTAAATATGGTTACATAAGTGACAGTATGTCACGTGAGGTACGTCACACGACTTACGGGTACTTTCCAACAGTCATGTTGTTTTGAGAGCCACTGACAATGGACCTATTTTTTCATTTAGGTTTGAAGACATGCTTACCATGAAAACTCACCTATGAGGTGTGCGCACAAGCAGACACATACACCTCAGTCCCATCCAAGTGTTCAATAGCTTTTTCCTCCCACTATCTGCTTGCCTTTTTTTGTCTGCCCTTGGGGATCCTCAGATTCTTAATTTATTTCCATCCTTAATCAATGCGAGGAAATCAAGCAAACAAAGCACAATTCATTAATCACTTCCTCCACCGTTTCGACCTATCATATCTGGAGATAACGCCATGGTCACGACAGCACCACTAATGTAAGATAATATGGAACTCCCTTGAAGCTAAGTAGCAGTTTTGCAGGTGTTTATTAAGATTAGAAATCAGCTTTCATATTTCTAATGCCTTCCAACCACTTTAAAATTGAAAACAGTAATAAGGTTGCTGCATTTCATGAAGTTGTTTGATGATTTTTTTTTTATTAGGAATTTAATAAACAAAGACTGTGGACAGATTTTGTGTGGTTAATTTCTTATTTTTGGGCTTTGAAGAAGGGATGATGAAAACACAATAGATGGTAGTGTTGAGTCTGTCCACTTTGGTCCAGACTGAATTACTTCAACAACTTGTACAGACATTCATGGTTTCCAGATGCTAAATCCTAATGACTTTGTTGATTCCTCGCTTTATATTTAGCACTGCAGTTGATTTTAAGTGAAATGTAAATACTTGCAAATCTAATGACATTCCCATCAGCCTCAGCTGTACTTTGTGTTCTTATTATCAAATCTTAGCATGCTAATACATTAAACCAGGGGTTCTCAAATCGATCTGTTTACCAGTTGTTGGTTATCAATTATTAACAATATTGGGGGGGTTGAATTCGATTGAAATAAATGAAATGATTCTGGTCAGCACGATAGCAACAGCAAACTCTCGTTTTGGTCCACATATACCCTGGATGGTGGATTCACAACCCCCCAGTTTGAGAACTTCTGCGGGAAAATTATATCTGCTTAGCATCTGGCTGGCTGGTTGGCTTTGTCATTGTGAGCATGTTAGCATGGTGACATTTGCATTTAGCACAAACTACCGCCTCACAAAGCTGCTAGCATGGCTGTAGACTCTGTTTTTCATTGTGTGCAGAAGTGACCAAAAGATGAAAGTAGCACTTGAACAAATCATTATTATGTGTAAGTGAACGTTAGTAAGTAATAACAAATCAAAAAAACAGTTCATACTTTATTATCACAGACTATGATTTCCCCATAAAATGTGCGTTTTCAACAATCAGAGACACAATTGTACTCGATTTGTTGTGGGTTATTATTATTAGTGGGGACAACTGTTATAAGCTAAGAGGTTGTGCTATTTTGAAATAAAGTTTGGAAATATGAAAAGCATACTGGCTGTGTGGATGCAGATGCATGGTTAAAATGTATTTGTTGTTGCTGTATTCTACCACAATACATTTGCAGGTGGTGTTCTTCTGTTTGACAATTTGATGACCACATTTATCTTAAATGGTCATATTTGGCAGTTTCATGTGCATTTAAAGTAAAGAAGAGCCACATTTGAGATGGAAAAGTGAAGGAATTTAGTTGATGCTGTCCCCCAGGATTCCTATCATAGCAGGTTGGTGTGATTGGTTCCAGCCCAGCGCTGCCTGGGCC